CCTTCCAAAAGGAAAGAGTAACTGCTTCTTAAATTCCACTTGCTTGTGTATATGATTGCAGGGCTTAAGAAGCTATAGAGCTAGCCCCAGCACTTGTGCTCGCCAGGCAGCGATGCGAAACCGCACACGCCGGGATTGATTTCAGGGGCCGCAGCGAGGTGAGTCTGACCCACAGAATCCTTCCCCAGACTCCACTTCAGAGCATGCCAGAGCAGGTGGCTAAATCAGAGTGAAGTGTTTAAGAGTACACTTTATACCCATCCTGCTAGCTGACAGAACATAGCACCGAAGGCCAATCATTAGGGAAATATCAGGATGCACAAGAACATGAAAAAAGGAAATCTGTACAAATAAGAGCTGAAAAAAGAGTCTGCTGGGAGACCTAGAATCCAGCAGCGAAGTGGCTACTGCCAACAACAGCCAGCAGAAAGTAGGCACACAAAAAACAACCTGGTGAGGTCTGCTCACCTTTTATTCCAGGCACTCAAATGCTCTCTAGCAGGAAGACAAGTAGGAGATGAAACAAGGCTTTTGTTTGCTGCCTTTCTTAAAAGTGCCTACCTKATTTCTGTTGGAGCCACATGTGAGTGAATGGATAACTCATTTACACAAACACTTGCACACACCCACTCTGATCTGCCAACACACATCCAGGGACTTTACCAGCATCTCTCACACAGGCATAGGGTGAAGAGTCCAGTCTGTAGCATTGGTAGCCACATTTTTTTTGGCTGTTACAAGAGTCCTGTGGTCCCACTTGCAGCACCCAGACAAGGAGAAGCCCCCAAGGGCCACCAGGGTGCCACCAGATGCACAGCATGTGGCTGCAGGTCACAGACCCACAATGACTCAGCTCGGAGATTGCACGTGCATCTCCTGCTGGCACTCACGTCTTCTCTCCCTTGGAGTCCTAAATAAGACCACATTTAAAATCAGCTGCTCCTAAATGCAGCCCTAAGACTGGATTTACAATAACCCAGAACAATAAAGAGACAAAGTGGTGCAAAAAAAAAAAAAAAGTGTAACTTATATTTTGTCGAATTCAGCGATTCACAAGGCTAGAATAATTAGTGGTTTAAAATGTTTTGACACAAGCAATCCCAATAATCATGATAAATCATATCAGGCATATGCCTGGCTCCTTGAAGTGACAGATGACAAACAGAGCAGTGACAAGACGCTCTATCATGCAGGGAATCATTGAGTTAATGGAAGAATTATTGCTTCTGAAATCCACTCCAGTCCTATTGTGGGGAACATTCCAATTTATCAAAGCCAAATGAACATTAATTGCTGCAGCCTGGTAAGTTTTCGAGCTGCTGTGACCTTCATTGAATTTTAATCCAAAACAGATAAGATTTACTTCCACACAAGAGGAAACAACACAATTAAACCCAAATGACAGCAAAGATTATGGGGAAAAACACAACAGGCATAATGACAAAAATATTGATTCCTTTCTAATTGACACTGTGCAAAAAAAGTAAATAAATAAAATCCCAGCATTTGCATATTTTTTTTTCTTTCCCCCTTCCCTTTCATTTGGGAGATAAATTTCARATGTTCAAGCCAAGAGGAAAGGGGTGGCAGACAGTAATGGAGACAGAATTCCCCTTAACTGCGGTAATTAATGTTATGTCTCGTTGGGGAGAGACTAGGAAAAAAACCGTCATGAGGAAAAGAACAGAAAAAGTATTATTTTCCTGTTAAAGATGCCCTTGGGCTTGCACGCGAGGGTCACGGCTGCACAGTACCTAAGGCATTTGCAGGCACAGATGATCACCCTGGGACACAAGCTCCCGCCAGCCCCTTCCTCACAACCTGGTCTTTAGGGAAGCGCCTCGCTATCCCCTGCAGCCACCGCTCCCCAAATCCTCCCCTCAGCAACCAGCTTCTGCATAAACAGATTTAGCTGTATTAAAAGGAGGGCAATGTTCCTTGCCARTTCTGTATGTCAAGAGATAACATGCAGGGGAAAACAATAATTWAAAAWAAAATAAAATAACAACCACTAAACAAAACAGCCCAAAACCAGAAAGCACATATAAAACTGATATTACAGGAAAAAAAAAGTAAAGGWGGCAGAAAAATGTAAAAAATACATTAAGCACATGAAATGCTGGTTAATTTGAGGTTGCAAGCAAGTCCCTACTGTCCTCAGCCCTGCTGGGTGCTGCTCAGAGCCTCCTCTCCTCCATTCAGCCCTATCCCGCGACCCTGTGAGGTTTGCCTCACCATGGAAGCCCAGGGCTGAAACACCTGCCCTTTCCCACAGCTCTCTAAAACATGGGCTTTATGCTCACCAGCATCTCATCCTCAGAGCGGGCTCTCCAGGGCCCCGGCTCAGCGCAGCAGATAGTTTGGCTTTAGAGGCAGAGCACGAGCTACGAGCAAGCCAAGTCATAAACATCAACACAAATCCAAAATAACGGTTCTGTGTGCGGGAGTTCAGCTTGGAGATGTCCCCTGGTCCAATAAAGCTTTGCAAGAACACTCCCTAAATGTGTAAAGTCGGGAATTAGTGAGATCCCACAGGCAAACTGTTTCTGGCTCTCTATAACTCAGCCAGAGAATGAACAGACAGGTAAAAGTAAGTGTTACAGTCACTTAAATGAGATTGAAAGAAGCATTTTCCAAGGTTTCCCCCACGCCCTATGGCGAGATCCCAAGCAGATGATGAACGAGGCAGGATGAGTGCTGCAGCAAAGGCACTACTGAGTGGTTCAAAAGGACAGGCAAGGTGCTCAGCCTGCAACCAYGTGCAGGATGCTCTAGGCTTCCCAGCTCCAAGCAGGAGGAAGAATATTGTAAACAATTCAAGTTGAATCTCAAAGCAGAAGAAGTAAAGACATTGAGGCATATGAGAGGATGGGAGGTTGAATGTTGAATGAGCGTCACAGGCTGGGGCTGGTACAGTGACAGTATGGGAGGCTGGTGGTGACCAAGCATAGCTCCATGCAGGAACAGAGCTTGGAGAGGCAGAAGAGTTCCAAGCAGTGGGCTGTGTCTGAGATGCAACTCAGCTGTGCTCTGCGAGGTACAGAAGAGTGTGGGAAAGGAGTTTGAACAAAGCCAGACACTCCAGTGGAACACCATGTGCAAAAACAAAGACTTCTCAGCTTTACTTCAGCTATACAGTGCCATGTGGTTTTTGGGAGGACAAAAACAACTATATTTCTTCTGCTAGTAACTCAAAACTTGGCACAGGTTCACTCCAAAAGTTAATGAATCTTCAAAAAAAAAAAAAAATGGGCAAGGTGTCACGTCTGTGATGCAATCCTGACCAAGGTATCCAGGGCTCTTGCACAGCTCTGCCTGCTCCCCCAGCTATTCCCAAAGACAGGAGTGCATGGGCTTAGATGTAGGCTCCCAGGTCAGGGCCTCAAATCACACAGAGATGAGTACCATGACTTTCAAAAGAAAAGTGAATTATGATATATAAGACATGTGTATAAGGAGCATTTATTCCATCYCCTAATAAAGAAAAACTGCATTTCAAGCAATCATCCCAATCACTAGGCTATGGAACCAGTATCACCCTCAGTCACAGACTACTTCTGTATCTACAAAGGAGAACAGTCCTGTAGGTGAGGTTGGCAGAGGTTTGCACACAACAGTCGAGCAAATCCCCATTCAAATCAGGAATCAAGTTTTCTACCTCTCATACTTCTGCTGTTGTCTCCATTCCTTGTTTTCTCTCTCACATCCATTTTTTCAGGCTCATTCTCTGAGTATCCCAGTTTTATCTTTCTCTCTCCAACACTCCATCACACTGATACTTTTGCAGGACCTAAAAAATGCTCCCTACCAAATCCACTATGCTAGAGTGCCCAATTTTTTTCCCTTCCTGCCATCCAGCTATCTTACTGCTTATCTTGCCCAGCAGCCTTAATGCAATGCCTCTCTGTGTTCACATGCTTTCAGTGCTCAATCTAAAGCCTCCCTGACAAGGGTCAGGGCACCTGAAAGAATAGATTTAAGCTTTCAAAGCCAAATAGCCTCTTGTTCAAATGGAAAGTTAGACTTCATACTACCACAGTCTTGGCTCCTTCTCCCCAAATGAGCAGGAGGTGCAAAAGAGAACACATATATTCTGCAAATGAAGGAGCGGATATTTTKCATCTAATTGTTGCTGCAGGTTTTCAAGGAAGTCTCCTATCCTTGATGGCTTCTTCTCTTGCTTTTTAAATCCACAATGGAACTGGATAGTAAGATCCTGCTGCTTTGAACCTAACACAGCCACCAAAGTAGAAGGTGTAGCACAGATGACATTACCTATAAAAACAGAGGATGGCCCTCACATACGGGCTCCAGCTGCAGAGGTTCCTCAGTCCCCAATCCTATAAAAGACCTTACTCGGGCAAATAAGTGACATGCCTACACACTGCTTTGTGGGTATTCACTTTTGCGCAGTGGGAGCTACGGGACAGTACAGCTGGTTTCATTTCACAAGTGGACCTCTAAAGTAGAGAGGCGCAATGGGCCAGATTCAAGGACACAGACAACAATATTGTAAGGCCAAAATAAACTTTTAAAAGGCATCAGGGCACATGTGTAACATGTTTCAAAACAAGTCACAAACACCTCTGATATTCAAAGAATCTGTGCTACTTTTACCACTCTTAGTTCAGATTTGTCCTTTGAATAGGAAGGATCACTCAGTAGCCCATACTGACTTAACAAGCAAAATTAAAGTTAAGAAAGCCTCAAAAAGACAAGATCAGCTCCATGATCTTGCCTTTATTACAAGATCAACTACACTTTTTTTTTTTCCTCCTCCTCTTCTTTCCCCTGGCCCATTCAAACCTACCTCTCCTTCTTTGGAAGCCCAGCCAAGCAAAGAGTCAGACAAGGAGTGCACTTAAGGGATGCAGACATTTGCAAACCGGACCTGCCAGCCTATTCTTTATCACCACCCTCCCACTCCAGTCTGGCTGCCAGCCGGCGCTCCCTCCCAGATGGCCCTCTGTACCCTCAGACGGAGTTCGGCTTCGACTCACCATGACAGAGATATGAAGAATGTGCATCTGCTCCTCCACTATCTCCGAAGGCTCCTGGAGGGTGGGCGGAGTGACCCGAGACAGCTGCTCAGCACTGTTCATGGAGACGTGGAAATACAGGGTACCATTCTCCAGCCACTGCTGCTTCCAGTGCACCAAGGAAATATCAGCCACAGTTCCAGACATCTCTGCAGTGACAAATCACACAACTGAGAATTAGCCTTTTCCACCGTACACTCAGTTCAGGCAAAGGAGCGGCAATTACAACATTTGATTTTTACCCCTGGTATGTCTCTCATCTCTTTGGTCACATTAAACATTGCTTTTGGGCCTCTGCACATCAATTTCCCCTTACATAAGTAACAATTTTCTAGAAAAGAAGGACAACTGTAGTAGCAGAACATTGAACAAAGTGCCTTTAACCTCCTACACTTCTAGAAATGTGCCAGAAGCAGCTCTTCGAAGTTTGCAGTCGAGCCCCATAGTGGTTTCTGGTCAGCCCAAGGCAGAGACAGGACATCTKGTGTGAGAAAAGCCAGAACACAGGCTTCAGCATGTGCTCTGCCAGCTCTTATGAGGRAAATCATCCTCCAGTAGTAGCAAGCTACCATCAAGTCATCTTTAGCAAGGCTAGTCCTAACSCAGACTAACAAGCACAAGCAAGAGGTGGTAAACATGGAAAAGTCAAGTATCAGGCTRACAAATATCTCTGTAGCCTCTGCCCTGGAGATGTTAGTTTTATCCTCCATGTCCCACACAATGACAATTTATAATGCAAGCACCTTGGGAGATGGGATGGTGACATCCCAGTATTCCCATCCACAGCAGCATCCAACCCTGACCTACATTCTCAGCATCACACCTGAGTAATTAGTTGCTTGGACAAAATCCGGAGACCATAAGCAAATCCTAGATTTACAGCCACTCACACAGCCCAGAGCCAGAGCCCCCTCAGCCTCAGCTGCAGCTCCTAGCTTGGCCAGGCAGCACCAAGATGATGGACAGCTGTGAAGCTGTCAGCAAAGTTTTAAATGCATCTCTGCAAAGAACTGATTTGTCAGTCTGGCAGCCAAATCAAACCCAAAAAAAGAACACTAGGGCAAAATGATCCAAAATATTTCTCCTTCCACCACCTCTTTTTTCATGTTTGTTTTTCCATCTGCAATATAAGCAGTGCAAAACAAGTCAGGTTCACAGTGGAAGCCTCTTATTTACTGGGCCCAGGGCTTCTGCTGTCACCTACTTTATGAGAGCACCAAATTTGGTTCCCTTATGTTTGTAGAGAGAGTGACCTAGCAACTGACTGTAATGGATTGTGATATGCTTCATAATCTCTGACAAATGCTCTATTTTGCATAAGTATTTGTACTTTCTGTGGAGCAGCAGACGATGGATGCCCAGTGAGTGTCCTTGCTGAGGACACAGGGCCATTAGCTGTCCATCTCTGTGGGTGGACAGCTCTCTCCTTCAGTGGAGACACTTCAGCAGAAAATCAGGGTAATCCACCTCAAAACATCTTTAGTCTCTCAGGTATGGCTGCTCCAAGACAGCAGAATGTGCAAGTTTAGATCCTATTYGTACCAGGAAGGGATGACCCAGTTGATGCACATCGTGACTCCAAAGTACCACTCAATCGCTCAGTGCTGGGGTTGCCAGCTGAGGATTTTGACTATTCCTCTCTCCTGATCTCCAGCCCAAGCCTCTAATGAACAGAATTGGACTTCTGCACTCCAGTTGCACAAATCCAGCTGGACAAAAGCACATCCACTTCTAGCTCTGAGCAGAAGCTAGAAGAGAGAGTGTGGCTGAGGGTATCTTGAGAAGTTCTAGCATCTTTTAGACCCAGATCCTTTAAGGCACTTTGATGCCAGCTCACTAGCAGCAACACAGGCCAGCAGATTGGGYCCTTCCACTTCTGAGGAATGCCATCCCAGTCCCTTGTCCTACACCAACAACAGCTGTTGATTCTTCAGGAACAATTTTCCAAAGCCCTGCAAGCAACACATTCTTCAGTAGAAAAGATTACAACAGATACGACACCATGCTCTTCACAGAGATGTCCCCATCATGACTCTGGAGCACTCAGCAAAGGTCTGATCACACCTGCCACAGCTGGCAGCAGCCTGGCTGCGGGCATAGACAAGGTTAGGCCATTCCTGCCAGCTCCCTTATTTAGCACCTCACTAATTATGCTCTTGATATACGTGGGAGGACTTGCACTGCCACCTGAATCTCCTTCAGGGCTCTGCTCATTATCTCTGCTGGCCAGCAACTGAGCAGTCCTTGTTAGCCCCTATCTCTATGCATATCTAAGCATTCAAAATGAAAAAGAACAAAAACAGCTAAATAGCTCTTGACTGCACATGGAATCTGTACGAGTCCACCCTTGCACTCCTGAGAAGATGCATGAACTTGCTGTTGTGCCTCTGTCATTGCAATAACATCTCTAACAGCCCCTTCTCTGCTTTAATAAAAACAGCTGTTTCCTGAAGCAAATCAGTACAAAATGCACTGATTGCGCTCTTCACCCTGTAAATCAAGTCAACATCACAACTCATGCTCCAGGACAGGAGCCCGTGCATCACCTAGGGATCTTCCAAAATAAGTCTCGTGTCTCTCATCTCAAAAGAGGTTAAAACAGAGTTTTTTTGAAAGAGAAGAGCCCTTCCATGCCTAATAAGCCTAATTAGTACTATAAGGCTTTTTTTTTTTTTTTTTTTTTTCCCCTCCCCCTCTTCCCTTTCTCTTTTTCATCTGTGGAGAGAAGGGTGGAAGGAAGAGAAAGAGGCAGGGATGAGCGGGTAGAACAAAAATAATAATGACTTTAGGATAGACACTAAAAATGTCTTTTCTAGGGGCAATAGGCCAACATAAAACTCTAGTTATTCAGAGACATCCTAGAGCTGCTTAGAGATGTAGTCACCCATAGGAGTAGAAATCTACAATATTACACATACACCCCTTTGTAAGATCCTCCCAAGAATGCCCAAGAAAGCAGGTTACATTGGTTTGACATAGCAGAAACCCATTTTCTGGCAACATCATATATAAAAAAAAATTCTCCATTCTTTCCCCCCAAAGTTATTCCCTTTCACACACACACTTTTGCATAGAAAGTTTAAAAGCATCATGCAGACRTTTCTGGAAAGTTGGGAGAYATAGGCAATTTTTTGTGGACYTCAGCCTAGACTGAAGACAAGTCTATTTCATCCTGAAAAGCTGTCTTCCAAAAGTAGAAACTTCAATTTAACCATCATTTCACAATTCTAAACAAAGACAGCAGTGAGGTGATTTATGATGGAAGTTCACTTGCCAAGCCTGGGTGTCATTCACCATACATTTATAACCACCTGAAGGCTCTTCCTCCCAACACTTGCATTGCATGAAACCTGGTCATTACCACCCCCAGCACTGCAAGAACATCACACCCTCTCCATCAGATTTGCAGCCCAATAAAGAAATAAATAAAAAATGTCAAGCTCTGTTCACACAGACATGCTTTTGCAGCCCATCCCTTTAATACCCAAATACAGGAAAGCTTCCTGGCCTCAAATACTTGACACGAATATTACACTGCCTGTGTTTCACTGGACACGCATTGTCATTCTGCTATCTACACTGTAGTTACAGCAAACGATAGGCCGTCCATCAGGAAGAATGCAATAGTCTGCAGCAAGATTGCCTGTTATCAGAGCTTTCAAATGCTTTTGGAACAAATTAAGGGCATTCCTGCACCAAAACAGAATGAGATACAGTTAAGGTTTTAAATGGGCAGCAATGGAAAAGCACTTGTAGTCTATAGCTATTTAACATCACAGCATCTAGACGACAGGAAATTCTTAACAAGGGTTCAAATGCAGCACTAAATCCTGTCCTAAAGCAACAGCTGCAGCTCCTTGGATAAAATGCTAGGTAGAAGACAGACCCTTTGGCAAGCGACTGCTGCCACAGCCTCATCCTACCTGGCCCATCAGCAAGCACATGCCAGGAAGGGAAAGCAGGGGTCCTCCTGCACCAGTGCAGGKCTGTTACTTCTGCTTGCTGTGCCTGGCCATCCCTCTTCTCACCTATAGTGTCTAAAGCCAGAGGTGATCACACTTCTCTGCTTTAGCATGGAGAATCTCCCCCCAACAAAGCAAGGGGAGAGGTCTCCTCCCAGCCTTCTGCTCCAGCTCTTCACACCTGCCCCTCATCTCCCATTACGAGCATCAGCTGAGCCTGAAGAGCAGCACAGCTGCCCTCGAGCCCTCAAGTCAGACACTTCAGAGCTGCAGCAAATCAGCCTCTATCTCACTTTTCCTTCCATGCAATGCAGGATAGCAGCACATCCTTTGTCTGYAATGGGTCTCACTCTAGTTCCTCCCTCTTCCAGCAACCCCCACCTTGCCATGGTTGTGCACCCTCAGCCTTGCAATCTGCAGGCCTGGAAACCCTCCCTTTCAGGAAACACCATGGTACGTGCTCCTACCACCACAGAGAGGGATTTATAAGGTCAATAATAGTATTATACGATGCTTCCTACTCTTGTGTTGGAGATGATGCTAACTGCCCCAAGAGGGAGGCTGCTATACATCAGCAGAAGGTCTGAATTTARAAACAAAAGAGCAAAGAGTTTCTCTTTTTCTGCTCTGACTCTGGGTCCCATCAGACCGTAACGTTATATCTCCATCAGAAATTAAAATAGCAATAAAAACAAAACCCTTTGCTCTGGCTCAGACCCTGCACTGGGCTCAAGCCCAATCTGTCCAGGTTGTCTGTCCCAGGTAAGGTCAGGGGAGGTAGGAGGACAGTGGAGATGTACCACAGTAAGACCCCTTCCAGTTGACTTTGTAATTCCATTTTCTCTTCACTATTTCTACAATCCTCACATATAAACATTTCACTGAAGTCTTCAACTCATATTACAATCAAACTTAAAAGCAAAAGGGCCTAAATGCATTTGGTTGGGAACCAAGGCGATTCCCATAAAAGCAGATTATGCTGACATGATGAATATAAAATGAAACAGCAGATATTAAAGTTGGAGAATCGTTACTTCATGCCTTCCGGCTCCTGTCCGCTCTACCTACCTTCTTTTCCTCCCTTTCTCCCCACTCCCCCCCCCCTCTATTTTTTTTAACCGAAAGCTGAAAGAAAACAGAGATAGCCTTTTCACCTCTGCCTTCTCCCGGGCAGGCTGCCAGGCTGG